CTTCTTTATCTAGTCTTCAGTTGAGGGGCATTTGGGTTTTTTCCAAGTTTTAGCTATTACAGACTGTGCCGCTATGGACCTGGGTGTGCATCACTGTGGTTGGATGGTCTAAATTTTTAGAGCTCTTTATGCATTCTAGTTATTAATCCTCTGTCTGAGGAATAGCTGGCAATTTTTTTTTTTATTTTGTAGGTTGTCTCTTCACTATTTTTTCCTTTGCTATGCAGAAACTTTTTCATTTGTTGATCTTGGTATTATTTCTTATGCCATTGGAGCTCTGATCAGAAAGTCCTTGCTTGTGCCTATGCCTTTAGGAGTTTTACTGACCTTCTTTTCCAGCCAGTTAGTGTTTCTGTTTTAATGTTAAGTATATACCTGGTGAGAGATATGAGTCCAGCACAGATCTATGTATAAATAGCCAGCTTTCCCAGCACCGTTTGTTAGATTGGCCATCTTCCCTCCAACTTGTATTTCTGGTCCCTTTGTTGAAGATCAAATAGCTCAGCACGTCTGGGACTTTTCTGTGTCCTCTGTTCTCTGTTACCACTGGAGGTGGTGAGCTTGTGTCAAGTGTGCCGCTGCAAGCTGTCGGTTATCATGGAAAGCGCTAAAAGGTTCGCCATCCCTGCGTTCTGCCCCATTAATTCACGTCTGTTTTTGTGCCCAAACCGCGCTGTCTGTAACCACTGTTGCTTTGGGGATTGTGCTGACTCCTGCTCTGCTCTTGTTGCCCAGGATTGCGTTGGCTATTCTGGGTCTCTTCTGCCTCCGTGTGAATTTTAGGATTCTTTTCGCTAACTCTGTGAGGAATGCTGTTGATATTTTGATTGGGATTGCACTGAATCTATGTAACAGTCTTGGGAGTGCGGCCCTTTTGATAACATTGAAACAGGGGACATCTGTGCGTTTTCTGCTCCCCTCTTTAATCTCTTTTACAGAGAGTACTGTGGTTTTCATCACAGAGGTCTTTCGTTTCCTTGGTTTGTTTAATTTCTAGGTATCTAATTTTTCTTCATGCTAGTGTGAATGGTATTATTTTCTTAATTTCTTTCTCATTGAGTTCATTAACAGTGTACCTAAATGCTGTTGATTTTTGCATGTTGATTTTTTACCTGCTACATAGCTGAAGCTGGTTATTAATTCTAAAAGTTTTTGGACGGAGTTCTTCGGATCTTCTTTGTAGCGCGTCATGTTACTGGTAAATAATGATAGTTTGACTCCTTTTTTTCTTTTTTGGTTTTTTGAGACAGGGTCTCACTGTGTAGTCGAGACTGACCTGGAACTCACTATGTAGCCCGGGCTGGTCTCAGACTCACAGCGATCCTCCTGCCTCAGCCTCCCGAGTGCTGGGATGACAGGCGTGCGCCACCGCACCCGGTTTAGTTTGACGTCTTTTCCTATATGTAGCCCTGTGTTTCTTTCTCTCGCCTGGCTCCTGTGGCTAATGCTTCGAGTGCTATATTAAATACAAGAGATGTGCATCCTTACACAGGCGCGCGCGCACACATCTCCCTGTATGAAGACTCCGTCTGGGCTAAATTTTTGCCTGTTTCCTTCGCTGTTGTATCACGCGCACTGCCCGCCTCTGGTTCCAGTTTCCCGACACACAGTTTTGCGCCGCTTTCCTGTAGTTTCCATTCTCTCCACACGAGGGCAGCAGAGGCCAGCGATCCCACCCCTGTGGGCCAGGTTCACGCGGTGGACGTCTGGAAACCTCTTCACCCTGGCCTTTGCGCCTCCGCCTCTCACAGGGGACCCCGGGTTCCCAGTCAGGTGCGGCTTTGGGGCCCAACATAGTTCCAAGAGAAGTTGGCTTGAAAATTGAAACAAAGCAAGGCAATTAGGCACAAAAACAGCCAAGAGACCCATCTAAAGCAATGAGATACGCCCCAGACCGGCTCATTGCAATAATCGGGACATTTACCTCAACTGCAACGTGTGAGGAGGGCCGGAAAGTTAAATAACATACAGCTGCGATGTTTCTAAAATAAAAGATAACCAAAAACTCCACACCAAACTGTTCAGTTTTATGTAATAAGCATAAAAGCATGCATACAAGGGTGGCCCTTTTCCCTTTTGCCCCATTTCCCAAATTGCACCACACAGCATGGTTGAATCCGGCCTTAAGATTTGGTATTTTATTCATGCTGTTTTGTGCTCATTTTTATCTTTAAAAAATATTTCATTAAAACATTACTCATCTTAAGTGTGGACTTCTGGGTGCCCCTGTAAATTTTCCAAGATGAATTTCTGACTTTACCTAACCCTGATCTCAGGCTTGCTAGGCTGCCCTCTCTAGGGAGCCCCAGCAGAGTCACAAATCAGTTGTCAAAAACAAATAAATAAATAAAATAGAACTGCTGCCACCTGCCTCCCAAGCACAAGGTCCTGAGTTCGATCCGCGCCACCAAAAAAACAAAACAAAAAGCACAAAACTCTGCCACGTGTCTAGCACACCTGGAATGTTCTAGGGCAAACCTGACAGGCACAGCACCCCAGCCACTCCAGATAGCAGGTAATCTTGGGTCTGCCACGGCAGACCAGCTATCAGGTCCCTCTCAATACAGGTGCCTCTGTCTACTGATCAGAACCGTCAGAAGTCAGAATCCCCTCTAAACTTGCCGATTGTGATGTGGATAGAGAACAGGTGACCTGAACTCTTCAGAATGTTCTAGAATGCTCCAGAACATTCTAGGTGTGCTAGACAGCTGGCAGGGTGCCACATGTGGGTCCAGGATTATCCAGCAGGTCTCTAGAGCTTGTTGGTCTTGCTGGGTGTAACTCTTATTAAATAAAGCCCCGTGAAGTTGGACATTGCCTGGTAGGAACAAGGCAAGAAGAAAGTTTCAGTTCCAAAGTGTATTTTAGATTAACGGAAGAAGACGCGAGGCTGTGCCTGCTGAGCTGTGCTGGCCCAGGATGACAGCTCTGCCGCTAACCGACGAAATGTATTTAACTCTGTTTAATTTGTATGGCAGCTTAGACAGCCACACGTTTCTTTTTGGCCAGAACTGCATTTTTTATAGTAATTCACCAAAACGAGGAACACAGAGGGAGAGAGGAGAGGCGCTCATTACGTGCTCACCAGGTCTAAGAAGTCTGGAGTTGTTCCCGCGGCCACATGCACGCCATGCCAATGTCCAGGAAAGGCAGCACAACAGGTGCTCAGCGGAGCGGGTCGGGGTCAAAAAAGGAAGGCCCGGCAGCGGGTGGTTCGGCCATGGAGCGCTTGCCTGGCTTGTATGAGGCCCTGGTTTCCATCCCCAGCACCACCATTAGTAACGATAATAATATCTCACACGTTACCACGGCAAAACTGGGAGAGTCCACGGTGTTACCCCACATGCTGTCAGCATTGAAAACAAACATCACATATGTTAGGGGCGAGAATTGTGCTCAGAAAATGAAGGTGAATACTAAGTGCATTAGGCCCTCTACGGGCCAAGGTAGTTTCCGGAAACTGAGCTCTCGCCTGCTCCACAGAAGCATCTTCTGGGAGAAGCAAAGGGAGCTACCTGGACCATGGGGCAGGACAGGCATGCACAGAAGTAGGTAGATAATTAAACCTGGGTGGGTGGGGCTGCAGGCAGTGCAGTCCCAGGTCGGCGTTACGACGAGGGTGGCCGTCCTCAGACCCGCTGTCCAGGACTTGCCGTTTCTGACAAGCTCAGTCTGCATCACCGCTGACCTAGACAGCACTCTGGCTCCAAACAACTGCAGAACCCGAGACGAATCACAAATCAGGCCTTGGTTTTCTTATTTGGAAGTAAAAGGGCAGATTGGGCTTTGGAGACCTGCAGATATGGATTCACGTCCCTCTCTTCCATTCATGAGCTGTCTGCCCAGGAATTATAAAACGTCTCTCTCTGCTCCCATTATGTAACCACACAGACCAAACAGGGTTGATGGAAAGGTTAACTGTGAGGAAGCAGAAGCTGGGTGTCATTGCATGTGGCTGTAGTTCCAACACTCTGGGAGGCTGAGGCAGGAGGATCACAGGTTTGATCTCAGGCCAGACAATTTAAGTGGCTTAGCAAGACCATGTCTCAAAATTTAAAAAGGCTGAGGAAGTAGGGCATGGTGGCGCACGCCTGTGATCCCAGCACTCAGGAGGCTGAGGCAGGAGGATTGCTGTGAGTTCAAGATCAGTCTGGGCTACACAGTAAGTTCCAGGTCAGTCTCAACTACATAGTGAGACCTTGTCTCAAAAAAACAAAAAATAAAAAGGCTGAGGATATAGCTCATTGCAAAGACCCTGAGTTCAATCCTCAGTATTGAATAAAAAAAAAAAGTGGTAAGATATATCCCATTTAGTAAGTTCTGCAAGGGGTATTTCTTGTTGATAAAGTGTATTACATGAGATTATATACAGAAACGAACACACTCAAAAGCATTTTTATAACATAATTCTGCCCGGTTTCCCTTGGTCCAGTGTATTTGTTAGTTTTCTATTGTTGTACAAGAGAGCTGGGGATGTAGCTCAGTAGTGCTGTGCCTGCCTGGCAAGTGCAAAGTCCCGAGTTCGATCCCCGTGTGTAGGACATCACCCAGCTGCACGCCCTGGCCCGCTGTCCTGTGGGTGGGGGTACGGTCTCAGCAGAAGACTCGGCTGGGGTAGACTGGAGGGGTTTTGTTAGCCACCTTAGCCACTGTGAGTGCAGTTAAATGGCATGAAGCACATCCACTTGTCAGCGGTTAGAACTGGGGAAGGTGCTTAACTCAGAGGTGATCCCGTTTTCCATCTGTCAAACGGGTAGACAAACCCTACTTAATTCAACTCGGTGGTGCCAGGATGCAACAGGGGCTGTGCCGAGCCCTGGCACCCCAAGAGGAGTTCCTGTGAGTCTGGTTCCAGGGGCCAGCAGGACCGCAGCATTTCCCCCATCAGAGAAAGCAGAATTTTCCCTGAGGCCCTGTACCCAGGCAAGTTTCTGCCTCACGCTGAAAGCCTTTTACATTTACAAATCATACACCATACTTATTTGACATTTTATCCTTTTTATTGCAAATTTCTCAGAAAGGAAAGAACACGGAAGCTGATTCTTGTTTGACCTTTGGTGAGAAGTGTCACCGGGGGTCACGCAGTCACCGGGCCTGTGATAGGCACCGCTGCCTGCCACCTCCCTAGGCTTTGGCCCAGGGGCAGCGGGGCCTCGGCGGCTCTTACAACGCCCCAGGCGTGTCCAAGCGGCCGGGCTGGAGAAGTGACATCAAGCGCCTGAGACACCCCTCTTCCCAGGGGTCAGACGCGCTGACCCTTCCTTAGGACCGAGGGCCAGCGAGATGCCCTGGGGCTGTGCCAGCCTGGAGAACACGAGACACGCCCACTGGGTCACAGAAAGAAACCCCTTTCTGACTGGAAGAGAGTATCAACCCTTTTCCCCCTTTAAATGGAAATGTACTGTAGAGATGAAAAGATTTTTGACCAAAACAGGAAATATATGTTGAATGACATAGGACGTATTTCTTATATAACCTCTCGTGTCCAAATTTTTTCTTTAATCTTTTTGTCAAGCCATTGAGAACTATATGTACTCTAGCAGCATATTTTATACGGGTGTAAACAGTAATAGCCAGTTAGACATTTCACTTGTGGTTCATCCTAGAAATAGAAAATGCTTTTATTGTCCTGAGTCCTTGGCAAATGGAACAGACAAAAGGTGTTTGTTTAAACAAACAAACAAACAAACAAAACACTTGTCCTCCTGCCCCTGGGCGCCCTCATGATCTCCAGGGGTGGCTTTCTCTTTCGGTTTGCACAGGGTGACCAAAGACCCCAGGGTCACACTTTCAGTGGCTGATCAAATACAGAGACTGAAAATTATCTAGAAAGTTGCACAAGACAAAGGTTTCTTGACACTATTATAAATTCAATTTGTTTCTTTGTCCATACAAAAGTGTGAATTTCTGTTCCATGAATAGTACTGCAGGGTTCACATCTTAACAGCGGTAACATTTTGAGAACATTTTAAAAATACACAGGATCCCATTCTGACATCGTAATTCTGCATGATTGTTACGTCTTGTCAGTAAAGATGTTACAGGATTCAGTTCATGGAGACGTTACTCCAAGGCACGAAAATACAGTTACAATAAATGTATATAAACCCTGGCACTGTGTGCCAATTTTGCAAACATTTAGAGAGATCATAACGTCTGGAAAATTCTATTATGATTAATGAACAGTTAATCATCAACAAATGGTTAACCACCATTCCATTATTTAATATATGGCTATCACTATACAAGTTGTGGCTAATTCAAAAATAGTTTTAAATATTAAAACCTGGTCTACCTAGGTGGATGTAAATATTGTGCCTTGTAGTACCCAGAACATCTTAAATTTCCACGTAATTTCCAATCTGTATGGCAGTTATTAATTGTAAATTTATTTTCATTATAGAAATGGCAGGTTTTTTTCTCAAGTGTGAAATCTCTTCCCCTTAGAAAAGACAGAGGATTGACAGTAAGATAACCAATATAAGAAACACACAAATAACAGTAATAAAACCCAGATGTGGACTCAAAGGTTGATTTCTAATCTATTGGGACAACACATTCCAGTGACAACTCATTGGTTTCTTAATTTTAAAAAATCAGCATGATATTTTTCAAAATATTAAATAGTCTTGGTTAGACCATTGAGCACTGAAAAAAATCGTCTTTTCATTCATAAAATGAAGAGGACCAAAGCCTTTCAAAGGGTGCGGTGACCACTGATTTAGAGAAATAAAATAAAGTGGTTAAAAACCGTATTTAATATGCTAAGAGTGTTTTCAAGACTCAGGTAAACATTCAGACCCATGAAAACACGTTTCCTGGCACATGCACACCCGGGAGCGTCCTGAACGCAGCGGGCCTGGCCTCCGAGGCCGGGCACCCAGTCCCAGGCCATACCCTCCACGTCCGGGTCCCAGGCCGCTCACAGCGGGGCTTCCGGCTTCTGAATCTGTTGGATTTGCTTCTGCAGCTGGTCCCTGTCCAGCTTCATCTTGGCCTCAAGCACTTGCCTGAGGGATCCTATGCTTTCGTAGATGGCCGTAAACCCTTTAAGGAGAGGTAAATTTCACAAGAGTTAATACTTTCAAAACGATGCCAAATCCGATTCCATAGAACATGGTGATAGTTGATTCTGACAAAAACTACCTATAAATGTTAAAACTCCAGCGGTAAAAGTTTGATGAAGAATAAGAGAATTGGGCCAGGGATGTAGCTCAAGGGCACGACACCTGCCTGGCAAGCACAAAGTCCTGAGTTCGATTCCCAGAACCAAAAAACAAACAAAACAATAACAAAAGAATCGCACAGTTGCATCGTATCTCACTGGAAATTGCTTTTTCATTACAAAAGGGGAAAGGAGCTATTACGACGGAGAAATCTGGCAGATACAACTTTTTTTTTGTACTGGGAATCAAACTCAGGGCCTCACACTTGCCAGGTAGGCCCTATGCCGCTGAATTACGTCCCCGGCCCCAGACACAACTTCAGCCGAGCTCACATCCCAACAGTTGGAGAAACCAGCGTCGTGGGCATTCAGATAAGATACCCGGCAAGGCCTACAGCTCTCCTGTGGCCTATCCATCCCAAACCTCATCACAAAGAAGCACATGAACACCAACGGGGACAGACTACAAAACCATGGCCAGCATTCGTTCCAAATGTCAAGATCACGGCGGAACCGATCCAGATTAAACGAGAGGAAGTAAGAAACACATTAACTTCCACACGTTAACGTGTGCTTCCAGATCAGAACTCAAGTGGCCAACGGGTGTAGGAAGAGGTGCCGAATTGTCAAGAAAATGCTCATCAGTAGCTGGCGTGGCGGCGCGCGCCTATGATCCCAGCACTTAGGAGGCTGAGGCAGGAGGATCACTGGCCAGCCTGAACTTAGCCTCAGGAAAAACAACAACAAAAAAATGCATGTAGGATGAAGAAGCCCAAGATGAGGGCCCTATGTGTTACACTGGGATTTTTCTAAAAGAGTAGATTCTGGTTGCTCTTCATACACACACACACACACACACACACACACACACACAAACACACACAAATACACACAAAAGGGTGACTGTAACAGGATGGCTATGCTAATTCACTTGACCATAATAGCCATGTCATTGTGTATATGAGTATCAAGACAGCTTATATGTCTTAAATATATATCATAAAATGTTTGCTTTTAAAATGTTTGATTAGGAAAAAAGGAAAGAAAATGTGGACTGGTGAAAGTTTGTTGAAAAGAAAACAACAATGAAGACTGAATACTGAACACTGAAAAGCATTCCACTGATGTCACCTCGTCCTGTAGTTGCGCCAGGAAATGTCCCCGTTCTTACGGAAAAAACATTACAATAGTAAAGCTGTAAAATGGCATCATGACTCTGGCAACTTCCAGATGATTCAGAGAATAAGAAATTATATTCACACAAAAATATTAAGTACACTTCCAAAATGTTAAAAGTTGGTAAATTTAAGATATGTAGTGTTCTGGGACTATTCTTATAGATTTTTAAAATTTGAAATTATCTAAAGACAAAAAGTAAAAAAAAAAAATAGTCAGGCGTGGTGGCACATGCTTGTAATCCCAGTACTCAGAAGGCTGAGGCAGGAGGCTTGCCTGAGTTCAAGGCCAGCCTGGGCTACACTGTAAGACTCTGTCTCAAAAACAACAAAACAAAAAAAGTTTTAAAAAAGGGCCTCTACCACAAAAGTACTTCATTGCCGGGTGTGGTGGTGCACACCTGTAATGCTCAGGAGGCTGAGGCAGGAGGATCGCTGTGAGTTCGAGACCAGCCTGGGCCATATAATGAGTTCCAGGTCAATCTCAACTATGTAGTGAGACCCTGTCTCAAAAAAACCAAACAAAACAGAAAAAGTACTTCATATTATTTTCTGTATTTCTATAGTTTAATTAAATGTTACTTTCAAGTCCTGTCTTCATTAGTAAAATATAGCATATTTTTCCTCAGGAAAAATTCCTTGTGTGACATTTCATGAAAAAAACTGTGCAAGTTACTCCTTAAAATGCTTTTACGGACACAGAAAGATACAACAATTACTAAAGAAAATAGGTTATAAACCTGTATAGTATGAACTTTTATGTTGGCAAAAGTACATACGGAAACATATAAAATATAGAAAATATACATAAACATGACTTCTGGGTAAGAGAAGCTATATTTTCAAATTATCCTGTGCTTTATGATTTTCCATTAAGAAATGTGTCACCTTTGTAGTAAGAATGTTTGTAATTCTGTAAAGGCCCATATCCAAATCTTACCAGGTACTAAATATTAACACCCTCAACAGTGGTTGGGAAAATAATCCATTCAGGGAACGAGGCAATCCTGATCATGGGTGAAATACTCAACTGTCACATTCCAACAGCCCCAAAACCAAGAAAGAAAATGCATTTTCATCTCTACAAGTTCTCCCATTCGAAAGTTTAATTATAACATCTAAATAAAGTCAACACTTGGTGATCAAAACAACAAAAGTATTCTTGGAATGACTACTTTTATTTCCACGTAGCTAAACAGGACGGTGGTACAGGAGGAACTTGTGGCAAAGGAAACTGAAGGAGCTGACACAGTTTTGGTTTTTGGTACCGCGGATCAAACTCAGGACCTGCTGCTTGCCAGGCAGGTGCGGAGCTAACGTGGTCTGAGTCCCACTGCTCAGCAAGACCATCTTCTCCTTCCTGACCAGATCAACCGACTCCCCCAGAATCCTTTTTATTTATTTATTTTTTTGAGACAGGGTCTCCCTATGCAGTTCAGGCTGTCCTTGAGCTCACTGTGTCACCAAGGCTAACCTGGAACTCATGGCAATCCTCCTGCCTCAGCCTGCCATGTACTGGGATGACAGGCGTACGCCACCACACATGGCCCTGAGAATCCTTTCCGTAACGAAGAGCTCTGGATCTCACAAAACCATCAGCGTCTTTAAGGACCATAAACTGTAAGCTATTTGTGCCTGAGTTAAAAATCTGTCTTTGGGTAACTTTTCCCAGTTTCAGTCCCAGTTCTGCGTTCTTGAATTCAGTGATAGGCCCTCTGCTACAACTGGAATCTCCCCTCTACAACTCATGCTGAGGTTTAGGTGCCATTGTAACGGTATAAACAAGAGAGGGGATCTTTAAGAGGCGAGCCAGCACTCTGGGAAGCTGAGGCAGGAGAACCCAGCTTTGAGCCCAGCCTGGGCAATTTAATGACTTAGGGAGACCTTGTCTCAAAATTAAAAAAAAAATAATAATAAAAGGGCTGCGGATGGAGCTCAGTGCAAAGACCCTGGGTTCAATCCTCAGTACTGGGGGAAAAGCGGGGCTGAGGAGGTGTTGGGGGCACCGTGATAAGGCCCTCAGCCGAGCGTGGGCCTCCAGTCAGGATGAACCCGGCCTGGATTTCGTCTGCCCGTGTGTGGGCTTCTGTGCCGCCCTGAACCGTGAGGATGACCATGTTACCACCGCAATGGCAGGGTTCCCAACGAACGGGTTTTGAGAAACAACAAGAAAAGGAAGCAAGGGAGCCGCCAGGCTCAGCCTACCGGCATCGACTTCCGCTTTCATCTCCTGCATGCCCTCCTGCATCTGCAGCTCCAGCTTGCTGATCCGCCCTTGCACCTTGTCCTCCTCCTGCTTGGCCCTCGGTCCTTCCAGACTCTTCCTCTGCGTCTCCTCTAGCTTGTCAAGTCTGGTTGACAACTGGCTGAGCCGCTCCGTGTCCCTTTCGCCGGCTACCTGAGATCCAGGAGGAGAAGCGCACCCGATTACTCCGAAGACACCGCCCGCCTCGCATTTCCATCTGCCTCAGTGTTGCACAGCAGTATGCCGGGGACAGGATCACAGGGGCGGCTGTTGCCCAGCTCAGTATCCACCTCAACCACGTCCGCCTTAACAGACTCCCGATTTTCAGCTCAGTAAAAAGCCATCCAGATACAAACCATACTTCCCACTGTCTCCTCAGCCTAGCAGAATACAGGCTCAGCGCGTGTGCGTGTGTGGCCATTACAGGATTAATTTCTGGCCAGTAGATGTCAGTGTATTGTGACAGCTTCCAGAAGTTCAAAGACAGCTGATATATACCTTCATTTCTGCCTCTTTCCTGTTTCTAGAATTCAACGGCTGGAGCTCCAGCAGCCACTCTGAATGGTGAGGATGCCAGTTGCTCTCTAGGGTTGGCACAGAGTGAAACTAAAAGAACCATGAGTCCCTGAGGACTGACGAGCCATCACGTCAGTCCTGCACGGCCCACACCCAGGCTTCTCTTCCATGAGAGAAATAAGCTTCTGTCTTATTAAAGCCACTCTTATCTTGGGGTTTACTGTTGGTCATAAACCAAGCTATATGTAAAAATGAACAGCGATCCAAAGTTGAAGCCTGCAAAAGTATTAGTATAAGTCTCTGTAAAATAATCAGTAGACCCTATAAAGATAGGGAAATACCCATACATTTTTCCTTGCCGACATGCTTGGTTTTCTGAACCTGTGTGTCTGCAGGCGAGCTATGGAGACCAGGACTAAACATGAAGCCGTAGCAGCTCAGCACAACACAGCTTTCTCTTGCTGATGCCCAGTGCGGGTCTGCAGGCTCCGCAGCTCAGAACCGGAGACAGCTGCAGAGACAGCGGTCAGCGAGGCAGAGCCCTCGCATCCCTTCTGCTCTCTGACGGGCAGGAGGCAGCGGCTCCGGGGAGAACAAGCAAGGAGGGGGCGATGGTCACTCTGAATAACCCAAGCCAACAAAATCCGCTTGGCAGGTCCGGCTTCAGAGCCTGCTGGTTTTGGATGGGATACATGCGAGGCTTTCTTGTTACAGTTTCGGAGCAGTTTGCAACCCTGAGCTCTGGGATTCAGGAAGGGGCCTTAAAGGAAAGGAAGTGGGGTCACTGTGCCCCCTGCCCGGGCCACTGCACGCTGGGGTTCCAGTGGACAGGAGGGGATCCGCAGGGAGACATCTACTCAACACTGGTCCTGACACGAACGCAAGCCAGCATCAAGCTGACAAATGTGCATTTTATCTAGAAATGCGCATGGGTGATTTGGATCTTGAAGATCTTGACTTAAACTTGTCTTAACTGAAAGTACTGAAAAATTCTATTTAGCCTTTTAACCAAAAGAAATCAAATGTTCCATCTCTTTATCAAGATTGTAAACCCAAGCATGGTGGTGCAGGCCTGTAAACCTAGCACTCAACAGGCTGAGGCAGAAGGATCGCCGTGAGTTCGAGGCCAGCCCGGGCTACATAGTGAGTTTCTGTCTCAAGACAAAGTAAAAATACAAATAGAGGGTGGCGATGGACTCAGTGGTAGAATACAGGCTCAGCATATGTCAGGCCCTGGATTTGATCCTCACAAACAATTGTGTGTGTATGTGTGTGTGTGTGTGTGTGTGTGTGTGTGTGTGTGCCCACACACAAAGAATGAACATAAACGAGAGGAATGGACTCAAAGGCAAGAAACAACTCAACGGCTCTATCTAATACCAAATAATTAGTCAAACACTGTAGACCTGTATCCGAATAATTAGTAAATGATTGCTAAACATCAATACCTACACTGTTTTCCTTAAGCGCCACGGAAAGCTGGTCAATTTTCTGTAAAAGTTCTTTTTCTATCCGTTCTTGCTCCTGTTGCATCCAGCTCCGTGTAGACAGAATCTGGTTACTGAGCTCCTCGACTGTACCTTTAAATCTAAGAGGCAGTAAGTGAACACGTCAGATGTAACACAGTTTTGAAGCGGCAGGGAACGACGTCTGGCTCTCAGGTAAATAGCAGTAAGTTGGGCTTCCTCAGAGCAGCTCCCCTTTTCTAGGGGTCACACTGGGCCGGGAAGGGGCAGCAGGAACACAAGACACAAAAGCGCCCACGGATGGCGGGATGGACGCTGAGGTGACCGTAGCACAGAGAGGACCTTCGTGGTTCTGAGGCCCGAAGTGCTCCTGGCTCACAGCGCTCGGTCCTGCATCTCCTCCCCAGGGTGCTCTCCTTCCCTGGTTCTCGTCCCTTTTAGTTGCCAAGACTGGAGCCCGGCTCCAGTATTCTCACTTGTCCCCAAACTCCTCTTGCCCCACAGGGACTCATCCCAATTTCATTCTGAAGAAAAAAATTTTTTTTTAAATTTAAAAACCTTCTCAGGCTCCCCTTCCTCTAGTCCTCTCTCCCCGCAAATTCCTTACAAGAACTGTCTGCCTGTACATGCTAACCCCCGGCTTCGTCATTCTTATTTCTATTGTATGAGAGAAAAATTATTGAAAAATATAGGTGGTATAGATATAGGATTTAAATAATACTAACATGAATGTGTACTGGCATACAGTCACTAGTTATCCTGCAATATCTGCTCCTTATCCCTTATAAAAAGTCCTCAGGTATCAGCTAGTCAGAAAGCTTGTTTTTCCAGCCTCCCTTGCAGCTAAGTTGCCCCACACTTCCCGTGTGGAAGCGATAGAGCACATTTCTGGTCACATCCTTAAACACAGACTGACTGCAGAGCACAAGGACTGGTGGGGCAGAGACCCCACCTGCCTGTGAACATGACCTCACCACGATTACCCAGCAGTCACAGCACCGAGGCTAGACTATACACAAACTAACACAGCCATGTCCTCCCACCAGCCTGAGACTAGACCTCCACCAGGATTTAGAAATCCCAAGGGTACTTTCTGGTGACCCCAGCCCCCGGGAGGTGAGCACCACCCAGAATTTCCTGTTCTCTGTCAGTACTCTGACAAGGGCTCTAGTGATCAGACAGACTAATACAGAGTAACCTATCCATAACTTAATCACACTTGCAAAGTCTTCTCCTACTATGTAAGGTGACTGTTCACCCATTCCCGTCATTAGGAGGTGGAGATATTTGGGGAATCATTGTTTAGTCTACCACAACCGTTTATCTTTCCTTAAAAGCTCTTATGACTATCAAGAATAATACAGCATGTATCTATTTAGTCCTTATTTGAGTATGGCCACTAGGTCCTTATACTGTAAATCACACAAGAACCAGAACAGTCTGATTTTCTGTTCATCACGGAACAGTACTTAGTGTACTGAATACTCAGAACAAGGAACAGTCCCTCAGCCGTACTCAACAAATATGAGGGCCAGGGATTTAGCTCAGTGGTTCCGTCGCCTGCCTTGTAAGTGCAAGAATCTGAGTTCAATCCCCGGTACCAAAAAAAAAAAAACAAAAACAAAAAAACAAAAATAAATATGAGGCATCATCAACAAATATGGTGAATTTTTAAAAACATTATAGCAAAAAAGACGCACTGCCGTTGATGCCCCTCACAAAACCCTCCCTTGCTTTGAGCACACTTAATCCATTACTCCTGTCACTTTCTGAAGCAGCTCTGGAGTCCTCTTTTGTGAGTGTCTTTAGTTGTGCAGTCATGGCTGCCTCGATGTCTTCAGTCAGTTCGAAACGTGTACCTCTCACAGTCACTTTGACTTTGGGGAAGAGCCAGAGGCCCGTGGGGATCTGAGGAATAAGGCAGATGGGGACACAGGGCAATGTGTTCGTTTGACAGAGACTGACGTAAACATTCTGAACTGGTTTGTGACATCAAGGCGGCTGTGAGAAGATACAGAAGAGGAATTCCGTCCGGAACTGTGTCAAACAGCAGAAAGGATGATGGGGTAGCGTGAGAAGCCGGAAGTGCAAACGGGGATGAAAATGTATGATAGATGATGTGAAACAGGAAGAAACGGGAAAGAAGGAAGTGGGAGGGGCAGGGGAAAGGAAGGGAAAGAAAATATGAGCAAAAGAAGAAAAGGAAGAGATGGAAACCAAGTTTTTAAAAATAGGGAAGGGTGGAGGGGTTGACGGGAGGGCAGGGGAATGGGGGAAAAAATAAGAACCAAGATATATTATGTGAAGGCATAAATTTCCAATGATGAATGTCATTATATTGTATACCTAAAATGTACCAATGAAATTAATTAAAAAAAAGAATGTTGAGGTAGGTGTGTTTGAAGCAAGGAGGAATATTTTGAGAGAGATTAATGGTAATGTGTCTTTTACTGTAATAAATCTTAAAAATTGAAATAGTTATCTTTTATTGCAATGTACATATAAATAGATAAATTATCATTCAATCACTAAAAATAATAATTATGAAGGAAAAGTAACAACAGGCTACACAGAAACTTTTCCTTTTAACCTCCGGGACTGTTTTTATTGTGTGCAATAAATAAAAAAACAAGAAGAAAAGAAGGGCAGTATTGCATAAACTTGGAAAGAACTTCAACTAAAAGCTTTTTTTAAATATATAAGCTCACAACTTACTTAGTATCTAAAAGCTGAAGCTGGTGGTTACTGTCTCTGTGGGACATCTTCAGTTTGGTGCTCTGCTCTGATATAGACAAATCCACTCTGTTCAAAAGCTGAGAAATCTGGAAAAGAAGGTATAGTTTCAGAAAATATTTCCTCAGCTACATGCTAGTCAATGGTGTTAAGAGGCAATCATTTAGGAGTTCGCCTCATCTTTTTACCTTTGCTTTTGTTTTTTTTTCTTACACACCAGCTGAAAATCGAGACCAGCAACACTGCCAAAATACTGCTCACACACCAAGCAGTAAACTGCTCCGTTCTGTGATGAGCGAACCCAACAGCAGCCCCAAAATGGAGTCAGGAAGCCCAAAATGGTGTCTGATGTGTCATGATCCCCTGCAGGGATCGTACAAGAGCATCCGACAGGTGTGCTGTGGTTGTCTGGGACATGCCCAGGGCATGATCAGGGAGGCCACGGGCTCTGCATGGGCACGGGGTGAACGCTGTAAAGGTTGGACCCTAAAAACTATGTAACCTCCTACGTAGTAGAGATTATGTTGCTTCTATAATGGCCCAAGCTCCCTTCTCAGCCACTTAAAAACTCCTAGACAAAGGGTCTTCTTGGGTATTCTACTTAGAACCCCTTCCTGTCTAGTGGGAGCTTTACTTCCTTGCCTTTGTATTTTTCCCTTCCTTGCCATTATGTCTTTTAAATAAATTTGCCTGCACCCTACTTCCTCTGTCCATGATTTCATTCTTCATCAGTGTGGGACAGGACCCTGGAATTCTGGTAACACTACCAGAATTACCGTTTCTCCTTGTCTTTTCACTAAAATTTAATATAAACCTAGTCCTTCGTGTGTTCAGTGCTCATATTTTCCACAAAAACTGTGATGTACAATATTCCTTACTTAAAACGTCATAGTTTTCTCAGAACCAGAATAACAACAACAAAAGTCTCTTTTGATGGGTTTCTGTGTTTGACTTGGCTTGGATACTAGAAAGCTTAAGATTTTCTTTACATCTATTTTCTGTTGTGATAATTTTATCCTTACTCAACCTTCAAAATTATTTTTAAAATGGGCCAGAAATTTAGCTCAGTAATGTCCCGCCTGCCTGGCAAGTGCAAGGCCCTGAGTCAATTCTCAGCATGCACACACGCAAACACACCATATATACATATATATGTGTGTGAGTGTATACTTTTTTCATAGTTTTATTATATCTGTGTTTTTCACATAAGGAACTTACTGGACATAGGAGATAAGCATTTTTAATCTGACCTGCGGACCACAAGTGCTGTTATTTTTCTAGAATAGTCTCTCCTCAAGTGAAGAATAGAAAATAAGGCAGGTAACATAGGAAAAGTCCTGGAAGGCCCACCCTGTTATAATAAAGGGAAACTTGTAAAAGGCCAAAAATCAAACTGAAACACCAAGTTTCACTTTGTGAAATCACTCTGTGAATTTCAAGGTAGAAAATTCTGAAGTTCACTAAAGCTGAAGTTCACTGAGCTCTAAAGTGCCTAAGCCTCCCCTAGCTTCGTCCCGCCTCTGTAGCACATGCAGACAGTGTGACAAGAAAGTACCTGCACTGTGTCCCAGTGAACACACTATTCCCTGAATCAAATGAGGGTGAGGGGCAGGCGACAGAACACAGGACGGCTTACCTGTGCAAGAGGCAGGCTTGTTTGTTTGTTTGTTTTGGTGCCAGGGATCAAACTGGAGTCCTTGAGCTTGTGAGGCATGTGGGGAACCACTGAGCTACATCCCCAGCCCTAGGCAGGTTTATTTTTGTTTTGATTTGGGTACTGGGGGTTAAATCCAGGGCCTTTGCATTGAGCTACATTCCCATCCCTTTTTTATTTTCTATTCTGAGACAGGGTCTTGCTGAGTTACTGTCTTGCCTGGGCTGGGCTCAAACTTGCAATCCTCCTGCCTCAGCCTCCCAGAGTGCTAGGATTACAGGTATGCACCACCGTGCCCAGCAGTTTAGAATCTCTAGAACATATTAATCATTCTAAGAATAAGGGGAAAGAATGTTTCAATTAAGGCTATACCAAAAAAAAAAAAAATCATTGTGCTTTGGTTGCCACACTCATGGTTCCCGCTTCAGGGAAATAGAGAAGGAAGAAACAAAGAGATGCCTATGATTTGCATAAACCTGTGCTGGGGCCCCAGCTAATTTCTCTTGCAAAAAAATAACACCCCAGCTGAGAACAAATTACCCACTTTTAAAAGCTCCCTGACACACGTCCTACCTGTCCTTCTGCATCTTTGATTGCACTTTCCAGGATCATCTTGGAGGCTTGCTGTTCTTTGTTCAGGTGCTGCAGCCCCTCATAGGTCGTTTTGTGCTCTGCAGACAGTCTGGCAATGCTGGCATCACATCTGTCAAGGCAGACAACAGAGCCACTTCTCATGAAGATTCTGAAGCGTGTGCAGGGGCAGCCTCTGCGCGATGAGACACGAGGCCCGGCTCCAAGAGACAGCGCCACCAGTCACAGCTCTGAAGGAAAGTCTGAGTGGATTTGAGAGCGTCCCTGGCTTACCCACTCACACCAAGGGAGCATTATTCCAGGAATGCAAGTCTGGTTGAGCCCCAGCGAAGCAATTAGTTTAATACAGTACCTCAGGAGAAAAACAGATAAAAGCCACACGATCATCTCAGTAGATGAAGAAAGAAAGCACTGAGTAAAAGCCAACACTCTTCATGACTACGAAAACAACAGTCAGCAAACTAGAAATAGAAAGGAATTTTCTCAACCTGATAACGAACAAATACAAAAATGCCACAGCTGAATTCGAACTCCAGGGTGCGAGACAGAAGCTTTCCCCTCCACTCAGGAATAAGACAAGGATGTCTGTTCTCACTATTTCTACTCAGGATCCCAGCTGAGGCTCTGGTCACAGCATTCAGGCAAGAAAAAGAAATCCAAGTCATCCGATGGGAATGAAAGAAGTATCACTTCTCTACTTGTACAAGTCCTGACTTTGTATGTAGAAAATTAGGAAACTATTAGAAGTAATGAATCAGTTTAGCAAGATGGCAGAATAAAAGACCGAAGTACAAAAACCAGTTGTTCTCTAAACAAGGATAGGTTTTTTTTTTTGTTGTTGTTGTTGTTGTTTTTTTTTGTACCAGGGATCAAACTCAGGACCTTGTACTTGCGAGGCAGGCGGCAACACCACTGAGCTACATCCCCAGTTCCACTGTAGGAAGGGCAAGGGGTCTCTGTCCACACAAAGACTTGTTCACACACGTTCACGGCAGCATTACTGGTAAGACCCCAAAAGTAAGCACAACCCAAACATTTAACTGACACCTAAGTAAAACACAGCACACAATGGGGTATTATTCCACTATTCGTAGGAATGAAGAGCCATAGTAACACAGATAAAACCCTGCAAACATTACGTTAAGTGCAGCAGTGATCTCAAAGGTGCATGTGTACTATGGTCCCATTTCCGTCCCCAAAGGCGCAAATCCAGGAGAGAGGAGAAGTATTTGGTGGTTTGCCAAGGACTGGGAGACTGGGGAGGGGCATCGGACGAAGATGGGGGTGGTGGCTAATGGCTTTGTAGGTTCTTTTTGAATGGTACCAATGCTTTCAAAGGAGCTGTGATAGTTACACAGCTCTGTGAGCACACTGAGAGCCAGGACAGGGACAAGGGGAAAAATGAGAATCAAGACCTATTACGTAAAGGTACAGAATCCCAATGATGAATGTAACTGTATTTGTATACCTAGATTGTACAC